GCAACACTGACTAGCCCCTTGCCAAGAGGTGTCCGCTGAGGCTCTGGTGAACCGAGATGCCCTTTGCTTGATCGTGGTTTTAAATGAGTAACAAGAAAAGGAGGAGGTGGGGTGTCCCCCAGCATGGACCAGCACACCGCTTTCTATGGCGCATATAAACACCCCTTTCTATGGCGCCTATGGTTTATCCACACCTTGAATACTGTGCCTAGTTGTGGTCCTTGCACCTCCAAAAAAAATCTAGATGAAGCAGTGAAGGTCCTGAGAAGGGCAGCATGGGTGGCTTGATTCATGGTATGGAGGAGCTTTTGTAGGAAGAGAAACGAAAGAGGCTGGGCCTGTTTAGTGTGGAAAAGAGACGCCTGAGTGAAGGGCACAAGAAGGGTTTGCAAAATACTAAATGGCAAAGAGACAGTAAATAGGATTTATTATGTACTCTCACTCCCAACACAGGAACCTGGGGTCGTAAAATGAAACTAGCAGGTAGTACGTTTGAAATGAATGCAAGGATGTTTTTTCTCACCCTGCCTGTCAATAAAGTGCGGGATGGGTTGCCACCAGATGTGGTGGCATCTGACAGTTTGGCTAGATTCAGAGGGGGGACAGACACATTCTTGGAGGAAAGGGGCCTCTGGAGTTATTGGGCACAGAAGGGAGGGATGCAGCCTCTCTGACTTTGACCTTCCTCCACCTTAAATGCTGGAGGCTGCAAGTGGAAGTGGGGGAAAGCCTTGGTCAGACCCAGTCCCCTCTCCCTTCCAGCACCCCCTCTCTGCCCATGAGCTGCGGGAGACTGGGCAAGATGGGACCGATGGTCTGGCCCAGTAAATGGCAGCTCCTTAATTTCTGTGCTTCGCTTCCCTGTCTGTAGAGTGAGGATGGTGGTCATCTCCCTACTGTTTGGGAGCGTTGGCAGGGCGAAGCTGCTGGGGTGGCATTTGGCTATTGGAGTGGTGGCTTCAGAGCTGTTCAGACCAGAAAGGGCCGCTCAGCTCATCTAGTCTGGGGCCGGCCTACATCTGGCCATAGACTCTCCCGAATTAACTTCTGCTACAAGCCTCAGAGTGGTGCTTAGAGAAGCCCGACTGTAATAGTGTCATGCCTTGCACCTTATTTCTAATCCGAATTTGTCCAGCTTCAGCTTCCAGCCGCTGGGTGTTGTGACATTTTTGTCTGCTAGGCACAAGGTGCTTGTGGGACAGTGGATACTGGAGTAAGCAGCGAGGTAACAGCAGCTGCAAACCAAGTAATGCCCGACTAGAGATGGCAAGCCAGAAACTTACTGCTCCTTCTGTTCTGTATTGCAGCCTGAAGAATCAGTAGTAGTTCATCGATCACGCGGCGGGAAAAAGTCAAGATTTCTTTGGCAAAGAAGAACCAACTAACCAACAGAGAGGATGCTTTCTTGGACAATGAGCATTGCCTTGGTGGATTCATTAATTAATGCACCTACTCTTCGCTTTGGACAAATGAATGGATTTCCTTTTTTAAAATTCTGTGGTGAGTTAAAATGTTTGGATGGATTTTTTTACCCGTTCGAGATAATATAATCCACACGCCGTCTAAAGTATGACAAATATACTGTAAGAAACAGCATTTAAGCATCATTCATCCTCAAAGACAGTGAAAACAAAATATTCTACTTTTTTCCTATTTATTCTTAGGTTTCTTTCGAGAGTATAAAGCGGTTCTATTAAATTATCCATGATTGTGATGTAAGCAGTCTTCAACCAGAAATAAACTTGATTTCCTCACCTTCTCCAGCATGATTTGTGTGAGCACACAAGGAGCAAACAATGAATCGCAGGGAATGCATAATGGATGATTTTTGTCCCCCCTTTCCTCTTTGTCTTCAGAAAAACAAATGGTTCACTGAGCAGTGAAAACTGAAATGAGAGACTAGAGTCCCTTGTCCTGCCGCTCAAGTGCAATTCCTAGAGGCTAGATGGAAGCCAGGCGCCTGGGAACAGTAACCTGAAAAGACATTAGTCTGTCCGGGGTGGAGCAGATAGCCCTCTGGAAGGTAGCAGAGGCCCGGAAAGAGCAGGCCCACTGCAGTTAAGGAAACCCATGTTTCCTATATGAGTAGCATGAACTGTGAGTATCCCACCGAGCACGCCAGGTATTTCTACAGAGGGTCCCTGACAGTCCAGACAAGGCAAATCCTGACTTCCCCAAGCCAGAAGCTGAGCCCCGGGCTAGGGACAGACATTTCAAAAGCCGGAGCCAGAATTGATTCCATCTGTGCAGGTTAGTCTAACCTGGCTAGGCTGAACCAGTTTGTCACCGGACAGACGTTTTCTCTGGGCTGAGGAAATGCAGGTGCGTGCCTGCAGTGGCTTAGGCTAGAAGCAGGGGGGCACTAGAGCAGCCCTCCCTTCCTGTGTACAGCACTGAGCAGAGAGGGGGCATGGCCAGGCCAAGATAGGACCTCTGATTAGGGAGGTCTGCCTGCACCATCCCAAGCTTTTCCCCGCTAGCTGCTTAAGGGCCAGGAGTGTTGCCAGCCCCCAGCCCTAGGCTAGCACTCTGAGGCAAAGGGGGGTGTGCAGCGCATGTGTCTGTTGATGATACGGAGCTTTTCAATCTCCCTCCCTGCTTCTCTATCCTGTCTGCTGCAAACTGACAGGAGAGCAAGCCAGCAGGAGGCTGATAACGGTGTTGATTGCCCCATTAGCCAAGCAATAGATAGCCTCTCTCCATTAGTTCAGACTCTTCTTAAACAGCTTACCAGCTGACCTGTTGATTAGCTCCAAAAGCCCTAAGCGGTCACTGTTCTGTCTGCCTGCCCCAGTGAAATTGGGGACACGCACACGTCTGCATTAGCAAGCATACCACATGCCTAGGGTCCGTGGGGCCAGGGTCCATGCTGTGGGAGATGGGAAGGGAGGGGGGATTCCTGCTCCAGCAGTGAGCAGCGAGGGGGTGGGTAGGGCAGGGGGAAGCCAG